TCATTACCATTTTATCTTCTAAGTCCTTGCTAGTGGTACTATCAAATGTAATTATATGTTTCCTTGCCTATTTTTCCCTGGAAAACTGTAACTTCTTTGTTTGTAGGTCCATGAATTAGTCACCTGTATATTTTCAAATCTACTACAGTGCCTGTTATACAGTAGCCTAGAAATCTTAAACTATTTTGAGTGCCAACTCCTTTAGGAATTGTCGTGATCATATTTCTCACATGCCATTCAGTTGATCCAGACGGACTCATTGTGTTTCCAAGGCTGTAAATCACATAGGAGGAGATTGTCCATCTTATTCTCGTGGAGGATTCTAACTGTAATGCACTGCGTTTGGGTTATCAGGGAGACTATCTATAGACTGTGTCATTGAGACTCCCTTTTTGTAAAAATTATAAACAATAAAATGTCTTTAGAATGCATGAAAGGAGACCTGACAACATAGTGCATTACATGCTGGGCTGCTAACTGTAATATTAAAGGTTTGAATATGCTAGCTACTCAGTGGGAGACAGATGAGGTAGGTATCTTCACAAAAACACCATAGCAAGAACATGGAAACAGCCCAAATGCCCAACCACAAGGGAATGGGTTTAAAAAATTATAGTTCATTCACACAATGGGCTGCTATGCAGCACACAGGAGCAATGATTTTTTGTAAATCACAACCTAACTTGGATGGACTCGAGAGCATTATGCTGAGTGAACTAACTCAGTCCCACAAGGACAAATAACTGTATAAAACCATTATTCTAGAACGATTATGAGATCCAAGGGGGGAAGGGTGGGAGCAGAGGGGTGAGGATGGACAGAGTGAGTAATCATAGAGTTACACAATTTGGTGGGTGTAGGCAAGGAAATGGGAAAGATCCAATGTGAAATACAATGTATACAAACTTTGTAAGTAAACCAGTATAAAATGAAAATTTTATTTCAAAAATTAGGCCTAGATCAATAGTGATTCTATATAATAGTGTATGTACTTCTATATAATACAATGAGTATATGAAACACAATGTAAATGAAAGAGTATAAAACACAATGTACATTAAAGAAACACAATGGATATGAATTATTGTATGCAAACTAATAGAAAAGGGAAATTTTTTTAAAAATACCACAAAAAAACTAAGGTGTGCCTGATCCAAGCCATGGCATTTTTCAGTTGCTTACTATACATCTGAAAGGATGGACAGTGAATAAGGAAGACTGAAAAAATCCTGATGTCTCTGAATTGTAGTGTTGGCAAAGAGTATCGAGTATAGCAGGGACTACTAAGAGAATAAAGAAATCTGTCATGAAAAAGTCCAACCAGAGTACTCCTTACAGGCAAGGGCCTCACAAAGGGGATCAAAACAAACAAATGGCAGGACAAAACAAAGTAGAATTTTAATAGTAATATATAAATAATTATGTAAATGTGCTAATAAAAAATCTGTCCACTAGGCCAACTGCTCTCTCTCTCTCTCTGCTGTTGCAAATATAGTAAATATACATAGCAAAATAGTGGAGATATGACGTAAGCCATATTTGTTTCTTCAATACTAGGTATCTTTTTTTAGAATCAAATATTTGAATATTGAATTAGTTTTCAGCTCTTACATATTACATAATCACTTAAGCATTAAGACGTGCTTACATTAGATTTTTGTTGTTGTTTCATTTGCAAAAACCTGTGAAGTACAATTTTTGGCATGTATTTCTTACATACTTGCCAAGGAACTCTGGTGGTATATATGCATATATACATATACATATATGTATATATGCATATATACACAACAACAACATACATAGTGGGCTGCTAGCTGAAAGTTTAGGGTGGAATCCAGCAACTTCTGCATAGGTGAAAGATGAGACTATCTCCTCCCATCAAAATTGACCACCTTGAAAACCTAAGGGGGATTACCACGAGTAAGAACAAACTCTAAGGCGGTGGATGTATATGGATGGTGGCACAAACGGTTTGCACTTGGCTATTAACTGAAAGGAGGTCCAGATCCATCCAGTGATAAAGGCCACTTCCCATGGAGTAGATTCCAACTCATGGTGACCCTGGCAGTGCAGAGTAGAACCGACTATTCTCCATAGTGATTTCATGATTATATGACCTTTTGGAAAATCACCAACCCTTTCTTCTGAGGTTCCTCGAACTGCCTATGTTTTGGTTAGTAATCCAGAGCTTAACCATTAGGTCCACCTAGGGGGTGCTCTGTATGCTCCCTTACTAACATATGTCTTCAATAACCCAGTCACAAATATTCTCTTGTACCATATTTGGCCTTGAAAAGTTATCACTAACATACATATCTTATTTCCTCAAATGTAACATGCTAGAAGGCAAGGAATATTGTATTTAATATTGAAAAGATTTAAAAGCAAACTAAAACTATTGTGACTCAGTCAATTCCAATCAGTGGTGACTCCATGAGTTACAGAGTAGAATTGCTCTCCATGGGGTGTTCTTGGCTGCAATCTTTATGGATGCAGATTTCCAGTTCTTTTCTCTGTGGTGCTGTTGTGTCAATTCTTCCAACAACCTTTTGATCAGTTCTCGGTTGACTCATTGCTGTCGAGTTGGAATCCACACATAACTGACCCTCCAGTGGGCTTTCTGAGGCTATAAATTACATGAAAGGAGACTGCCTATCTTTCTGTCATGGAGCACCTGGTGGACTTGGATCACCTGTCTTTGAGTTGGCAGTGCAACTCTTTCCCTCTAGGCCACCAGAACTCAAAAACTGTGCCAATCAAGGAACCATTGAAGGGACCATAGAGCATTTTAAAATGTTTCTTCATATCTAGTAGTTATTCTTTGTTTATGTCCTTTCAAGGTTTTAAGGCAATACATTTATCATGTCAAAATTTAAACATGTTGTCTAGTTGATTCCAACTGTGGTAACCCTGTATGTGTCAGGGAAGACTGCTCCAAAGGGTTGTCAATGGCTGTACCTTAGAGCTGTAGTCAGAAAATCCAAAGGGCTGAACTCACTCAACGTTTCTTTAGCTGAAGGAATTGATGAACAAATTCAAGCCTCAAGTTGTGGATGCTTTGGACAGAATATTAAGTGATCCAGGATGCATTAAAAGACAATGGAAGGAATATACAGAGTCACTGTACCAAAAGGAATTGGCTGGCATGGAACAATTTCATGAAGCAATGTATGAACAAGAGCCTATGGTGTTGAAGAAAGAAGTTCAAGCTACTCTGAAAGAATTGGAAGATAACAAGGTCCCAGGAATTTATGGCATATCAATTTATATATTTCAACAGACACTGCCCTGGATATGCTCACCAAGTTGTGCCAAGAAACCTGGAAACAGCTACCTGGCCAACTGATGGAAAGAGATCCATATTTGTTCCCATTCCAAAGAAAGATGGCCCAACAGAGTGCAGAAAATATCAAACAATATTATTAATATTACATGCAAGCAAGATTCTGCTGAAAATTACCCAAAAATGACTGAAACAGTACATCAAAAAATGGAGGCTAGGTTTAGAAGAGGCTGTGGCCCTAGAGATAGGGTAGCTAATGTTAGATGGATCTTGGTGTGGATCACAACTGTGGCTAACTCTGAGAAGACTGGAATCCCAGAACATTTGATCATGCTTATGTGAAACCTATACTTGGGCAGGCATCAGAACAGAGCAAGGAAACACTACATGATTCAAAATCAGGAAAGATGTATCCCAGAGATGCAGTCTATCTCCATACCTTTTCAATCCATATGCAGAACAGATCATGCGGGAGACTGGGCTCTATAAAGAGGAATGTGGCATTAGGATTGGAGGTAGACTCATCTGTGTTAGGCAGATGACACAACCTTGCTTGCTGAAACTGAAGAGGACCTGAAGCGTTTGCTACAGAAAGTCAAGATTTGCAGCCTTCAGTACGAATTGAAGCTCAATATTAAAAAACAAAACAAAGATTCTCACCACTGGTCTGATTGGCAGCATCATGACGGAGGAAGAGATTGAGATTGTTAACAGCTTCAGCTTGCTTGGCTTCACAATCAACACTCTTGGTACCAGCAGCCAGTAAATGAAAAGATAAACTGCACTGGCAATATCTGCTGTCAGGGACTTCCCCAGAGTATGGAAGAGCAATGATGTCAGTCTGAAGACTACGGTGCACCTGATACAGGCCATAGTTTTTGCAACTACTTATTTTGCGTCTGAAAGCTGGAAAATGACTAGGGATGATAGAAAGATAATTGATGCCTTTGTGCTGTGGTACTGGAAAAAGGGTATTGAATATACCAGGGACTGCCAGGAGAACAAACAGGCTTGTCCTAGAAAGGGTGAGACCAGGCTGTTCCGTGGAGGCAAAGATTCTGAAGCTTCATCTTTAGGCATGTTGCAAGGAGGGACCAGTCCTTGGAGAGGGACATCATGCTTGGGAGGGTGGAGAGACAGTATAGGAGAGGAAGATCCTCAATGAGATGGACTGATTCAGTGACTGGGGTAATAGAGGTAAGTGTGTCAGAGATAATAAGGTTGGCACGGAAGAGAGCAAGGTTCAGAGCTCTTGTACATAGGGTCACTATGAGTCGCAAGCAAATTAGCAGCACAAAACAACATAGAGTACAGTTCTGCTTTTTAAAGATAGAAGAAATGAGACAACAAGCTCTAGTTCCAAAACTCTGGGAAATTGTGATAATATGAATTGAAAACCCATTATAAAGATAGATTATAGTAAAAATTCCTGCAGAGCAGAATGATAATGAAAATAACTTTAAAAATTATAATTCTTCTCTCATCTTTTAATTTTTAGTGTATTCCTTTTGATAATTTGTTCTTGTGTATTACCTGAATTTGTAGTTCAAGTAGTTTTAAGAACCTTGTCCTGAAATACATTACATTTAAAACAGAGGTTTGAAGGAAGTTAATAAAATAGACTATCGAGACATAAGAATGTCTTCCCTTAAGTTATACCCCAACTGTCTGAATCAATATGGAAGTTTACCCATCCTTCCTTTTTCCTTTTCAGTTCATGGAAATCAGTCAACGGATATTATGTTCATATGACACAAATATAGATGAGCTCTTTTCAGAAATTGATCACTGCTTAGCTATAAACAGAAGTGTTCTTCAGCAACTGGAGGAAAAGTGTGGTCATGAGATTACAGAAGGTGACTGGGAAAAAATTCAAATTCAGGTAGTAAATATGCCAAGTCACCAAGAGTCTGGAATAGGGTGACAGTGGGTGGGAAGTGCAACTACATTGGTTTTATTTGTTTCTGAAGTGTTTGTTTTAGAGTAAAGCCTGGTGATACTGAGTACAGAGTTACTCTTTCTGTCTGTGGCTTGACCCAGAGATGGGATTTCCTTGGTTATTACTTATAAGGACAGTGATTATTTCAAAGATCCCTCAGCTTAAAATTCTGATACAATTTTATTAAAAAGGAAAAAAGCTGCCATGAATATTACCTCCATGGAAAGTTTTCCTGGAAGTTCTAGCTTACCCTTTACTTGCGTCTATACTAGTACTTCATGAAATCTCTGAAATGACTTAAAAACCAAGACTGAAGGAAAAATTTACTTTAAAAATTACAAAATTAGGAGAATGTTGAAAGCTTTGCTGCTATTTAGAGTAAATTATTTTGAGAAGTATTCTTTATTGCTACGTTAAAATGAAATACATTATTTAGCATTTTATAAAATATTTGAAGTTATATATCAAAAGTGGATTTACATGGCTTCTTCATTTTTCCTAAGATGAATATATAGGCATGATGTAATTTTGTTGCTTTAACAGAGAAATAAACTTGTGGAAAAAAGATGTATGTATCTAGTATTAATTTTTCATTTAATTTCAATAACTTTTGGTTATGTGATGAACAACCTCATTATCAATACTCATCTCTTCTGTGTTACAGGCGCTACATCAGGAGATATATGAATGCTCCATTTGCCTCACCCCACTCTCATTTAACAGCAGTTTCCAAAGTACAACTTCAGGAAAAAGTGACAATCAGCATTCTCGTAAAATTGTTCTGTTGTCTTGCTCACATATGTTCCACCATGAATGTCTTCTAGCTTTAGAAGAATTTTCCTTGGGAGAAATATATACTTGTCCTCTCTGCCGCTCTTGCTACCAAAAGAAAATTCTTGAATGCTGAAGTCTTATTCAAGAAGAGTTATATAATTCTGTGAAAGAATTTACCTTAATTTAGGAAGAATAACATGAGTTTGAGGTTAAATACTATAGTATAAGTGATAAATTCTCCAAAGAAATAAACAATCAGTAGTTGTACATAGGAAATCTAACTGTATTTTAAAAGCTTTTATATTCAGTTTTAGTGTTAAGTTTATTCAGAAAAAGTGATATAATTTTGGGGAAGTTTGTACTTAAAGTTTAGAAAAATTACATGAATTTTGAGTTAAACACTATAGTAATGCATCCTCCAAAGAAATAAACTATGGCTAGTTTTGCATAAGAAATCTAATGATATCTATAAAGCTGACTGCTCATCCAGTTTTAGTTTCTTATTTATAAAAGGCAAGTTCAAATTCTTCAGTTAATGAAATTGAAAAGAATGAAGTTACTAGAAAGTTGAGGTCTAAAGTTTCTATAATTTACTTATTTGTTACACTTCTAATTAATCCATTGAGATTTTTCACAAGACCATTAACATTGATGACCACTTTTCAGTTCTGATTGGCATCAATTTAGTCTACTCTATTTTTTATATTATATTATCATTTAAGGCTGGTCCCAAGTGCGGTGTTACTTAAAATCTAGTAGTATTTGATCAACAAAGTAAAAAACTTAAAAACATTCTTCACGTGTTCAATTGTTTTCCATTGTTTTAAAGTTCCCTGCCCTCCCTACATTTGCTGTGTGATAATTACTTTATTTCTGTGTAGCATATTATTGTCTTTCAGCACATTAAATAAGGAAACAAAAGTGCAAAAATAAAATATTCTGTAGTATTTTTCAACTTCAGAAATTGACAAATCAGAATTTAAATATTTACAAGAAGCTCTGGTGGCATAGTCCACAGTGACTTGCCCTGTTAACCACAAGTCCATGTATCTGCAGTTCAGACCCACCACTGTGAGAGAAAGGTGGAAAATCTCCTCTCATTATAATCTATAACCTTGGAAACCCAATATAGGATCACTGAGTTCAAAATTATAGACAACAGTGAGTTAGTTTGATGCCTCTTTAATGCATTACAGAGAATCCTTTAAAATGTGTTCATTACACTGATATTGACTGAGACCTTGAAATACAAAACAGTTGTCTTTTTAAGATTAGTATCACCATCTTAAACAAATAAAGCCCTAAATATCAGTGACTTACTAAAACAGAATGCTATTTCTAACTTATACAAAGTCGTGAAGCAGAAGGGTCAGGTAGGGATGAGCATTCTGCTTTTACTTTCAAGGCCCAGGCTCTTTCCATCTTGTAACTCAACAGTCTCCTTTGTTCTGAATCTCCTACTGAATTCTCTCATATAATTAGAGAAGAGCAAGGAGAGATTTATGACCCATGCTTATAAGTATGATACGGTGGTGTCAAAGGTTTATTGTTCAAAATGTCTTTCCTAGCCAAATTATGAACTGTTTCTTTTGTGCTGGAGTGTTTATTGTATTAAGGAGAGAGAATTGTGGTGGGATAAAAGCTCCATCATACTAGAGGCTTATATAAGGTCCTGCCTCTCTTTTTGGGGTGCCCACTTTCCAGCTACATTATAACTGATAGTGTGTAACAACTGCTAGTGCTCACCAGTCTCTGCAACATTGGCCTACATACCTATAGTCTCAAGAGCTATTCCTCTGACAGGTATGAGTCTCTGAAAAATCTTCCAGTTAACCACTAAACCTAAGGGACATAGATAAGTGAGGGAACAGAATGAAGGAGGGACTGTTGATGTTGGACATCGTGATGTTATACAGCAAATCAAACATTTGGAACAGAGTTGACTTTGTACTTTCTGTAACTGGTCTGCTGTTAATATTAGCAGAACCAATTATGAATACAATCTGTGTCAGAGTAGTGCAATTTGCTACAGAGGTCCAGCCTATCTATAATATAGATTTAGACTCTGGAGAGAAAAAGTGGTGAACAAGAGAATGAAAAATCTTTGGTCTCTGGGTCAGATAAGGACTACCCATAGATTAATGTAGCTATTATATTACAGTCAGTTATCCAAGGCAAAAGTTACTTACCAGACATGAAGTTAGTGGACCTAACTCCTGAGAAGCTGGTTAATTGGATGATACAGGGTGATGAGGAAAGAGCAAAACCACAATTCCTTGGTTTCCGCTATAATAAGTGGTGGCAAAGTGTGAGGGAAAGAATGTAGGAACTAAGATGGTTAATATCAGAACTAGCAAAGTCCTACAATGACAGTTACACTCCTTCAACTCAAGGTCTACTTGGGAAGAAAAAAACCATTTGGGAGCAACCATAAATTCCCCTCTGACCTATGGTCACTAAAATGGTAGACTGGGAGGTAGATGGGATAGGAATCATAGGAATGGTATGAATATAGCAGGCATTGATGGAGTTGAGACAAAAGTTGTAAGGAGGAACTGTGGGAGGCTGAATGGACCAATGAAGGATCCCTCTGTTCCCCAACATCAAGAAGGCCTAAACAAGTCAATTCTATTCATCTTAATCATGAGAGCCCCACTCAGAATCACTTGAAGCAGAAGTTCAGCTAGTTGTTCAAGACTTGACAGGAAGAACAAGGTCTTCTGGTCCAACCCCCAGAGGAATATGTGGATATGTGTGGATAAAATGGTCTGAGGGTGGAGAAGAAACCTCCTTGGGGGTTCTGGACACAGGAGCCCAATATACTATAATCTCTAAACCTGTTGATAATATCTTGAAGAAATCTGAAGTTGTATTAGGAGAATGTATTGGGAACGCAGCAATTAATGGGTCTAAACTGAAAGTCTGGATGAGAATCAGAAAATATAAACAGATTTTATATTAAGTAGTTTAACTTTAAGTAGTTTATATTTAAGTTTATCTGAATGTATTATTGATATGGATATTGTGTCTAATTGGGGGAACACCCCCTCTATCAGATTTTGTAAATCAGAGGGTGCAAAAGTATACCTTAAAGCCAGTGTTGATTGGACATGCTAAATGGGAGCCATTAAAATTGCCTGTGTCCAGTCAGATTTTTTACTCTACAATATTGGATACGTGGTGGATGTCAATTAAAGATATTCTAAAGTTTAGAGTGTTGGGGTCAACAAATTATATAACAGCCCTCCATGATCTGTGAAAAAGACATATGGCTCATGGAAGTTAACTGTAGACTATCAGGACCTAAATAAAGTACTGTCACCTGGAACTTCCTTCAGCAGTCTGCACATGGGTGCAGAAAATACAAAAGGAGACTAGTACTCAGTATTATATCTTGCAAATGCCACTTTTCCCTCCTCCATTCCAATCTCAGAAAAGAGCTAGCCACAATTTGCTTTCACATGGAAAGGATTTCAGACTACCTTTACAGTCTTACCACAGGGTTATTTGGAATAGCCTTATTAGAAAAGACTTGGACTTGGTTCAAATATCCAGTGTAATTATACATTGTATTGGTGATATCCTGTTAAACACTTAAGAACCAGCTAGGGATGATTTGAAAACCGTGATTTCCCACTGATGACCAATGGAGATTGGTTGATAAATCCAGCAAAAAAAAAAAAAAATCCAGAGCCCTTTCCAGAGAAAAGTCTTGAGAATAACATGGGCAGAAGCTACTCATGACATTCCACAGCTACTGTTACTACCTACTCCCAAGGCTAAACAGGAAACCCAATGTTTGATCTGTTTGGATTTTGGAGAACTCATGTCCCATAGGTAGCTCTGGTGGCCTTGTGGCAAAAGCTGTGCTGCAATCTCAAAGGCACACTGTTTGAGACCACTAGCTGTTCTACAGGAGAAGGATGGGCAATCTCCCATGTGACTAACTGCCTCTGGAAACCCGCTGGAGGGTCAACTATGGGTCGGTTCTGATTCGACAGTATAAAAGAACAATAACATCCCATATCTTGGAATCCTGTTAGCTCCCATCCACCCAGTTATTCAAAAAACTGTGAATGGGGTGTGAGCAATCACAGCCTATGACTGAAAAACAAAGCAGTCTTACTCTCCTTGATTCTAAGCCCTTAGGAGTCACATTCAGATATAATTCTTAAGGTATTTTCTATCTGTGCTTATGCAGATATTAAACATAATTGGAATGGAAGATTCTTTAGAGAAAGGAACATGCTTGTTTCTTCAGAGTACTAGTTATACAGGAATGGGCACATTACAAGTTGACTATCTAAAATGGGAGATTAAGTAATTGGAATGGAAGATTCTTTAGAGAAAGGAACATGCTTGTTTCTTCAGAGTACTAGTTATACAGGAATGGGCACATTACAAGTTGACTATCTAAAATGGGAGATTAAGTCCTGAGGAATGAAATTGCTGGCTTACATACTTTCATGAATATAGTTCTTCTTATGATTGTTAAGGAGAAAGGTGATTCTTGAGTGTGAGGGTTGATGACTAGAAAAGCCAGGGATGGTCTGTGCTGTCAAAGGTTTACCACTCAAAATGTCTTTCCTATACAAAGACTAACTTTATTTTATGCTGAAATATTTATTGTATAAAGGATGAGGATTAGGGTGAGATACAAGTCCCACCATACTAGAGCTTATAAGCTCATAAAACCTCAATACTAGCTCTCTCTTTGTGGGATGCTTACTTTCCAGCTCCACTGCAACTGATAGTCTATAACACTTAACATTCTCTGCAAAATTGCCTTACAACCTCACAAGTCATTCCTCTGATGGTTCTGAGTCTCTGGGAGACCTTCCAGTGGAGCACTGAACCAAGGGACATAGAGGAGTAAGGGAACTGAACAAATGAAGGACTGTTAGTGTAAAAAACCATGGACTTAAACAGCAAATCAAACATTTGGGACACTGTTAAGTCCATATTTCTTGTAAATGGTTTGTTAGTAATCTTAGCAGAACAAATTATGAATACAGATACATATCAAACTTAGCTAATTACAACTAACTACAACCATAGCGAATTTCAAAGGTAGCAGGAGAATAATATTGCTTGGCCTGGAGAAAAAAAAAGAAACATAAGTTATTAAATGGG